TCGGCTAATTGGACCATTATCAAGTTAAGTGCAATTATCTTACTCGTTTCGTATGAGTGGGACCAAGAAGAAGAAGAAGACGACTTAATAATTGCGACAAGAAGTAGTTAAAAGAGCAGGAGTAATTTATCTGATGGAATTGGAAATCAAGACATTTTCTGGTTTTGCTTGATTGAAAAAAAGAAGCTGGGTTGGGTGCAGGATGGGCAAATAATTAGTGTAGTAGCAAAAGTGGTGGTGTGGTAATCAGGATGATGATAACTTGTTATTTAGAAAATGACAAGGATTTTTACAGTTTTGCACCCTTGTTGACAAAATAAAGCAGAAAATTGCCACCAAAATTATGTAAAAATTTTAAACGATTTCATTTAATTGTTGGCTCTTAAAGAAAAATATCTGCGAATAATTATTTCCAGCCTGGTGAGAGTTAAAATTGCATCTCTGTTTCAAGAAGACACTTAATTGTAGAAATTGTGGAAACTTTAAGAAATTAAAATTAAATGACGATGTTTACAAGCAAAATTATAATTTTCTTTAGGAAAACTCCCCTAGAAAAATCCGATAAATTTGTAAGATAAGCATGCCAAAAGAATTTGTGCTTCAAATTCGCACATTAAATTATGTTGAATTAGATTAGGTATAACGTTTACGTTGAATTGGTTGTTATAAATTTCTGTATAATATAGAGACTCAATTCACGCATTCCTTGGTAACTTTGTAAAATAAGTACATTTTATAAAACCATTGCACAAACTTTTGTAAAATAAAGAGACGCCCTGTCACCTGTGTGAATTGCTCCAATGCAAAACACTCGATAAATCTAAATCAAAGGGATGTGTAATTTACTCTTTAAAAATATTTTAAAAAGAAAATTGTGTTACAAAACTATGGTAAAATTGTTCCAAAGAATACCTTTTTTTACTATTTTTAGTACTTAGTATAACATCTTATAGTTAGAAAACACCTTGACATAACTTTCCTAAATTTCGATTTTTTAAATAATATTCATACGACATTAAGCTTTTGCTAAATATTAAACTTAAACAATAATTTCTCCACATCGTCATTTTATTCAGAACAAATTAAAAGTTTGAAAGTTTACAGAATTTGTAAAGTTACCAAGGCCTGCATGAATTGCGTCATACTTTTCTTAATTTCCAAAGTAGTAGAAAAATTGTCACATACGGAAATTTATCCCAAGTGCGGAAGAAACGAATTTAAAAAATGGTGGCAATTCACGCAGTCCTTGGTAACTTTGTAAAATAGGTAAATTTTGTGTAATAATTTTACCCACTTTTACAAAATAAAGAGACGCTTTTGATATGAGTAAGTTTACAAAAATTTGTAAGCTAGTTTTCCTTCGAAATAAAAAGTTTGCAGAATTTACAAAGTTACCAAGGACTGCGTGAATTGCCTCAATTTGATTTAAATTCCTCTAATTAATTAAGTTTTTTTCTCATAAAAACAGAATGGTTTTGCAAAATCGAAAAGTTTGAAGAATTTACAAAGTCACCAGTGCCTTCGTGAATTGCGTCACACTTTTCTTAATTAATTTCCAAATTAATGGAAAAATTGTCATATGCAAAACTACGGAAGTTTGTACCAGGTGAGGAGGAGGAAACTCATTAAAAAAATGGTGCAGACATACATCAAGTATGATTTCTTCTGAATTTAAATTTGCCAATAAATTGGGAATTGATTGATGGCGTGTTGTGCATTTTGAAGTGTGAGATGATCCTCCTCCTCCTCGTCAAGCTCATTAATATTTATCAATTTTACGCTATTTTTCCCCACGAAAAGAAGGAAAGTATGTAGATTTGCATACGAACTTATTTGCATATTAAATAGTTAGTTAACTACCACGCAGAATAATGGGGGGGGATGATGATACGATATAATTTTTGACACGGGACTCACGCTAATCAAGCATTTTAACGTCAATAATCGTGCCGTGGAAATTGATTTACTGACTTTTTTCGAATAGGTCGAAATTTCGTGTGGCGCCCTTGTTTTGCACAACATTGCCAAAAATTTGTTATAATAAGTAATTTTAGTTAGAGATGCTTGTCAAGGAATGGGCGGTTTATTACAGAAAGGAAATAGAAATTTTCACAATGTATTTGTGAAATAGAAATTGTAACGGGTTACAAAATGTTTCCACAAATTTTGAAAACTTCCGAAGAAAATTTTAATTAGGAGTGGATCGTTTCCTAATTTTGGATCAATTTTTGCACCATAATCTTATTATAAATAGTTTATGAACATTCAAGTGCATTGATGCTTTTGTAAAGTTTGTAAAATTAGATTGTACATTTTTTACTCAAGAAAATTCAATTTTTATTAAGTTTCAAAATTAACGGTTTCTTGGTCGGTCTTCAAAATTCCGTAATGTTTTTAAAAAGTTACGAAGTTTTTTTGCTGGGTTAAATTTACCAAGTGAATTGTTTTTTATGTCAAGTGTATAAAATCAAATTTCATATTTTTTTTACTCAACCTACAATTTTTACAAAGTAAAAAAAAAACATAACTTTTTTTCAAAATTTACTCCGCCCTTTACCCCATCACAAATATTTTTCGTGAATTACTACCATAAAATTGTGACGTTTTCGTCTGAAAATGGTTTGTTTTTATAGAAATTCTTTCCCATAATTATACACAGTTTAGCGAATCTGCAATTTATAGCAGGCCTCGTTCTGTGTGTAGCTGGTTATTACACGGATTCTCTTCTACTTTATGTATCGCTCATCCAATCTCGTCATGTTGATCACGGGGAAATTATTGGTGGCAAAAAGCAGTAAACAATATGAAACATCAGGCTTCGTCACGACTTTACAAAGTCAGGGGCACAGCCACGATTTTTTCGCAGTTTTTTTTCCTGCTGTTTTGGTTCCTACAATTCTTTCAGAAAAAGCCGAAAAGAAAAAAGGATATGCGAAATTAACGGATTTTTATGCGAACCACGAGCGAGTCTGAATTTTGTTGCTCAGCATAAACGAACATATGAGGAACGAAGTATCTGTTTTGAAGTAAAATATAATTTAAAAAAATAGAAAATTAAATTTGGTGTTAAAATTTTCCAAATTCAAATTTCAAATTGTTCGAATTTTAAATTTTTAAATTTTAAAGGGTAGCGAATTCAAGATCAGTTATATTTTATTTCAACTGAGCTTGGATACATCTTTTTCGAAAACTTATTTATGAAAAATGTAAAAAATAAAATTTCGCGTGTAAATTGTCCAAAATTTTGAACTACATAAAGTAGTAGAAATTGACGAATCATCTTTTATTAAAAATTATTACAGAAATTTAAAAAAAATCCAAATTTGGTGTTGAGATCTTCCAAATTTTTCAAACTTTTCCAACCTTTTCCAAATCTGACTAAAAATCGTTCCGCGGTACATTTCATGATTTCTTTGTACTTAAAATTGTTCCGTTTAACTAATCATTAGACAACCCAATAATTTTCATTACAAGATTTTTTTCGAAAATTGTTACCTTTGCGTAATAAACTATGTACATGGTATGGTTATACGTACCAGCTGGCAAATAAATATGCCTACAAATATTTACAAATAAATAAATACGCGTTTAAAAACGTGGAATGTAAATCATCCCGGCACGACGAAGCACAAATTCCTGTCTAAAAACTAGATTATGAAACAATACGTGGCATCCTGTTTTTCGAGATTGCATGAAAAGTGGACATAAATCTTGTTTCAGAAAGAAATGGAATAGATCATACATAGAGAAATATTATGAAAAATCGTACATAGCCAGACTCAAGATAAGCCGGGTTACTTATCTGCGAAACAATAAATTTGAATAGGACGAGATAGCAAAATATACAAATTTTAAATGAGTAATTAATTACAATTAAGCTTTAAACCGGGGCGAGACTATCGGTACCCCATAAATTTTGCGGGGTTCTTTTGTTATGCAAATATGGCATTTCTCACGGTCTGGTTTTTGGCGTCTGATTTTTTTTCAGAAATCTCCAATTGCTCACGAATAAGTTTCTGAGTTAGAAATTTCCTAAATTTCTGAAATGCTAATTTATACCGGAGCGAGAAGACTCATCATTTCTCTTTTTCGGAGCCTAATAAACTTTGCGTACTCTTTAGTCATGACATTTCCCATGAGTTTTGGGGTACTGAAATTTCCAAAATTTCCAATTGCTTACCAAAAGGTTTCTGAATCAGAAATGTCCTAAATTTCTGAAATCTCCATGTAAACTGGAAGCTTGTCATTTCTCACCTTCAGAGCCCAATAAATTTTGCATAATCTTTATCAGTCACTGCATTTCCCATAGTCAGGATTTTAAATTTCTGAATCATAAATTTCTAAATTTCCTCACCTCAAATTTCTCAAATTATTTACTAATTACTTCATCTCTTTTCTATTTCCAGGTTGATTTGGAGCATCAGCGCGAAGTCTCGAAGCACGAGGGGGCCGCACTGGCGCAACTTTGGGGCTGTTCCTTCATCGAAACCTCGGCAAAACAGAGGACAAACGTCAACGACGTTTTTGCCGAAGTCGTTCGCGAAATGAACTGTCGCCCCACGAAGAACAAGCAGTCGTACTGCTGCTCCTGTAACAACTCGTGCTGCATACTCTGATTTCTCGGCGACACCCTCAGCATCGAAAAAAAGCATCATTTTTATATAATTTTAGCCAGAAAATGAGGAGGAGAAATCGTTACATTATTAATTATTATTGTAATTAGTTAATTATTAATTGTTATTATTATTAAGCATACATAATTGTTACTTGTTGTTTGAAACGTTAAATTCATTCCTTCTTCTATAAAACTGTTTTTTTTGTGGAGTCGAGTGTTCGGAAATTTATGAGACGAAATTTTGAAAAAAATTGGAAATAATTTGATTTTTTTGTGTGTGAAAATTGTTGTTGCAAAAATTTGACGTGCGAAAAAATGTGCATAATTATACCCAAAATTTTTGTGGCATTTCATATTTCTACGAGTTTTTTTTATATCTGAATAATTGAAAAAAAATTGTGATCGTAAAAATTTTCGGGATGAAGAAATTGTGTATGTAACGAAATTTGAATTTGGGTTGTGTCGAGGAAATTATGTATTGTAATAAAAATTAAATTAATTAATTGATAAGGTAAGAAGAAGGCTTATCTTCGCATATCTCGTGATGCCAAATTATTATGATAGAGGACATTTCCTATCGGTATTTATCAGATTTTAATTAATAATTTCTCTCTCTTCACACCTTTTTTTGTAAAGCTTATAATTTTTACGTCATCCTAATTAACAAAAGAACAGTTTGCCATGTTGTGTAGTTTTTGCGATAAAGAGATAATTCACGCGGAGTACTTGGTAACTTTATAAAGTTTGTAAAATAATTTAGCAAATTTTTACAAAATACAAAGATCTGAGTAAACTTGCAAAAATTTGTGAACTAATTTTCCTTCTAAATATTTGTAAAATTTTGTAAGTTTACACATTTTACAAAATTACCAAGGACTTCGTGAATTGCTTCAAAGAAAAGCCATTTGATTTAAATTCCTCTAATTAATTAAGTTTTTTTTCTCATATTAAAAAAACAGAATGGATAATATCGAACGTAAATTAAGACGAGCTTGTAATAAGAGGAAGAAGAAATATCTTTTTAATTGTGAATGAATGATATGATGATATCTATTTTTAATAATAGAATTATTTATATCGTGATTAAAATCTTAATTAAAATTAATTTTTTTGTGGAAAGGAATTTACGCGGATATTTGTAAAATACAAAATTGGTAAACAAAATTCGAACCAATTTTTTGGGAATAGTTTGCAAAAAATCTTTATACTAATAGTAAAAAAATTAGTAAACTTTGAATCGTACCAATTTTTTGCATAAAAGTTTGCAAAAATTTAGAATCTTTTTAACACAGTAAAAAATGGTAATTTTTCAAGACAAAAAATTCGTACCAATTTTTTTTTTGCACAAAAATCTGCAAAATTCAACATTACAAATCCCTAAAATTTACATAGTTTGCAAAAATCCGAGTGAGCTAGTTTAAGCTAAAAACAGATCTGAGGGTCCCTTTCTCGTCTGAATTTCCGTTGTTTTTTTTACAAAAAAAGTCGACTGATCATAAATAAAAGTAATTTCCACTGATAAAAAATGTGCCCAACTTTTTCGAAAAATATTCAAATTATTAATAATTTGAACAAGTTTGAATGATGACAATGTTGTGGCTTAATTGGATATCATTCTGATAATAATGGCGGAAAAAAACTTGAGTTTTTTGAAAACACAAATAAATTTCTACAAATAAAACATAAAGCTTTTCCGCTTAATGAAAGTGTACGTAAATAATTAGTAAATTTTTTGTAAATTAATTTAAAAAATACGCAATTAGTTAATTAATTACAAAGAAAAAATAAGTCATAATTATTCTTGTTGTATAGAAGACGAGACGACAACTAAATAATTAATTAAAATTAGGTTTAATTATAATTAAGTAATTAATCATAATTAAAAAAATATTTACATACATAAATACACGGCCGCACGCATATTTACAAATTAAATGAAATGAAAAATGAACATATGAATGCCTCGCCTGTTTTAAAAATATTGAAAAAAGTCAAATCTAAAAAATTTGCGGGTAGGAATTTTGTAGCGATTTGTAATTAAGAAAAATGAAATGTCGTCACCATTATTTTTTGATGATGATAAATAAATAAATTCCTCGTAAAGAAAGAATCAATTGGAAAATGGCGAGGATTGTTTGTAATTAATTAATTAAATTGAGATATGAAAAAAATGGACCCTATTTTACGAGGGGATGGAATTGAAAGGAGGAGAAGCAGATGAAGAAGTGTAATTAATTAAAATGTAAATTAAGTTAAGAATCTGATGATGATTAATGACGGGAAATATTTATACTACGTACGTACAAGATGAAAATGGAAGAGGAGAGAATTTTTGAGAAGTAATAAAAATCGTGATAAAAAAATGAAATGGTGTAATTGAAAATTTATTATTTTTTCATGAAATTCACACTGATTTTATGTGTATTTACTTTTTTACTTGTCTATACATATGCATGCATGTACATACGGGTGCAAGTTTTTGGTAAAATTTTGGCAAAAATACAATCTAAAAATGGATAGATTTTATTTCCATAATTTTTAAGTAATTCGCACTTCATTTGTTAAATTAGTAAATTTTGGAAAATTAGAATTGCGGAAATTTTACTGGGTTAGGGAACTTATTTTTGCTGAACATATGGGCAAGATTATTACTATTGCATATTTTCGAAATAGCCGAAATTTACTATAGATTTTTAGCTTGATTTTCCTTCATAGCTTTCACTACTTTGTAGAAATTTAGCGATTTTACTGGGTTGCAAACATCCGATTGACTCGATAAATTATGACGAAATTTGTAAACTGACCCCAAGTTTTTTTAAGATGTATGTATATTCATATTTTTTTCATTCATATTTTTTATGAAGATTGATATTTTGCATGCACAGCTCAATCTGACAGCGTTATCTCATCTATCTCACTTTTTTTAGGCGTGGTGTGCGTAAGTGACGCATGGAATGAAGATGAGCAGGTTCATCATCTTGAAAAATATGTGCATACATTGTATAAAAACATTATGAAAACAATGGTAACTGAAAAAGACTTACCTAGCTTTTAATACCATGTGGTCAAAAAATTTGAATTCGTTAAAATTCCTCTTAATGAATAATATGCACACATTTTCATACTTCACTTATCTAAACTTTGAGTTATGTATAATTCCACCAGGGTTTAAAATGTTCATTAATTTTTTTCGTTAAAACTGAAAAATCTTTTTAAATAAAAAACTACGAGTTATAGGAAAATACCATAAAATCCCATAACGGCTTCTTAATTAATCAGATATTTAGAAAAATTGCATTTTTACAATATTTTGATTTTCATGCATTTTCGTGCACTTTTCCGGATTTTTGGTGTTTAAAAACCTTTTTTGCAGGTGGTTTTCAACAAGAGATATAATGCTGTTTATAAACAATATTTAAACCTATTTAACTGGTATGTAGAAAAATGTAGTAAACCTTTTCAACTATTTTTAGTCCAACAATAATAAAACTCTTTCACTCAATTGTGTACATATTTCATACGAAAACTCAACCCTTTCTTCCCTCCAGTATGTATACATGTACACAGCAAATTAATAACCCGTCCCCAGAAGGTGTACCTGTACAAATTTAACTTCAGTAAAGTCGAGCCTTCCCATCTTTCCATTTTGCTGATCTGCTGTCACGTGGTATTAATTAGCATGGCGTCATACCCACCACGAGCAGGATGCATGGTTAAACAGGAACCCGGGTCCACACCAACCGGAACGGGGTTGCAGACCCCCTTTGTGAAAATGGAAATAAACGAGGTACGTGAAATTATGAAGAAAGTCCTTACAATTTTTCACATACAAACGAAATATGCGGTTTTGTAAGATAATTCCTAATCGTAAATATTTCGCTTACAACGGAACATTTTTTCAAGCTACACCGGGATTATTCGGCGAGTTATATCAAAAACTTCAGCCAAAAAATAGGGGTGACATGGCGCTTATCATTCCGTTGAATGGCCCATTTGAAGAAAAATATTGGCGGCAAAGTTCAATTTTTAAATAAATTTTCTCTCCTTTTCCTCTACTGATAGTGTGCATTTTTTCACCCAATAATTCTTACCCCACAAGTTTCACTCCACAATTTTCATTCCCCAATTCTCAACCTACTAACAATGGAACCTTTTTTCAAGCTACACGAGATAAGCTTAGTGTTTTATGCTAAAAAATCAAGCTAAAAATTTGAAATGACGTGGTAGAGGGTGTTCCGGAAGTAATGCAACTTTGGTCAAATGCATATATAAACTGAACCAATGAATTTGTTTAGGCGAAATTTTGGTCAGAAAGAGACAAAGGTTAAAGCTAATTACTTTTTGCTTCGAATGGTCCATACATCTCCTTCCGCCCAATTTGGGGAAGCTTTTGTCGGGCGCTCCCCATTAGTGCTTCGCCACTGTTTTTGGTTACCTTTTTTGGGATTTTTGGCCACATGGGGTGAAATAAATTCAAATTTTTGACTGAAGTTTTTCGATTACAATATTTTTTCTTGGATAAAAACTAAAATTGTTCAATAGGTCTTGTATTTGGCAAATTTTGGAACGTTGTTCACCTCTCCCATGTTAATTGCATTTGATCCGTTTTAAGGCTGAACGGGATACTTTGGCTTAGATTTATTTTCCAGTTTTGCATAAATGGTTTTCTTGAAGGTGGGAGAGTTGTACTATGTGCAAATAAAAGCATTTTGATAATCTGAGCAGTAAATCGTCTTGTACAGGACGATCAATTTTGATTAATTTTGATTACTTCAGGTCAAGGATTTTTTCTGCCCTCCTGCTTGCTACTTTTATTTTACTCTTTACTATATTTATAAGCTTATAGAGCCTTCTAGGATTTGATGTCTAACTTCTAAGCTTTCAAATAATGTATGGTGTTCGGTGACAACTTCAAGTACTTGAGCGAATTTCGCTCCGGCATAACAAATTTCTGTTTACACGAAGTTCATTACTTTCGGGGCTGCCACACGAATGGGCCGACCAGATATTTTTTTGCGATTAGTGGTTTTTTGCACCTCATATTAGTAGAACACAACAAATTGCCACTTTTGGAATTTGTTCTTTTTTAAAGTGAACACAGCTCAATTTCTTGGAGCGCGTAACCACTTTTTCGAAGTAGTGGCAGACGATGGTTGCGAGTTGCTCGGTGGTATTTGACCTCATTTTGGAACGGATCGAGATATCGACTTCTGGTTTTCGGATTCTACTAGATAGACGTGTGGACTACAATATCCACCCAATTTAGAAGTTGGGGCAAATTGATACCCTTGGATATATGAATTTTACCAAAGTTACATTACTTCCGGAACACCCTCTACTTATCTTTCCGTTGAATGGGCACTTGGAGGTCAAATATTTGAGGGCAAAGTTCACAGTAGCGGCCTGCTTTTTTCTCAAGCGGGCGAGCGGTGGAGTGAGAATTTTCTCCTTCGAGGTCACTCCGCTCCCTTCACTCTCGAGATACTTTCGTTCGTAAATAGTATGCAATCAATATGCAATTCCAAAAATATACAACAAAGTTTGACAATAAAAATAAGTCAACTTTAAGGATTATGATTTCTAATTAATTAATATGTTAATTAATTTTTCGCACTTATAATTTATTGAACCCATCGTCACTTTTTTATTACGGATCGGTGGATAGTAGGATTTTGAAAAGCAAATATAAAATTATATGAATGTTTGCACCAATTTACGAGATTGTGAAATTTTGTCAAAAATAATACGCATTTAATGATTTAATGAAGTGCAAGCGTGCGAGAGTGAAGGGAGCGGAGTGACCTCGAAGGAGAAAATTCTCACTCCACCGCTCGCCCGCTTGAGAAAAAAGCAGGCCGCTACTGTGAACTTTGCCCTCAAATATTTGACCTCCAAGTGCCCATTCAACGGAAAGATAAGTACCACGTCATTTCTAATGTTAGCTTGATTTTTTAGCATAAGTCACTAAGCTTATCTCGTGTAGCTTGAAAAAAGGTTCCATTGTAAGCCATGTGATTCCTAATTTTTTAGCTTGATTTTTTTATATAACACGTTACACAATCCCGGTGTAGCTTGGAAAAAGTTCCATTGTTAGTTCGATTAAAATAATGACTAGAAGGCATGTACTTAAAATTAAACGACGACATAGTAAAGTGCAGCACATAACATAAAATATTAATTCGATTGGATTGGTCTATATTCTTTTTAGAATACTGTTTCAACATTTGCAGCCCCCATTCTCGACTTACAAGTTGTCTCCGCGTATTACATTGCTTCCTTAGGCTTTCTCACAAGTATCGAAGCCAAACACTTAAACCTACACATAAACAGCTCCGAACATAAAGCACACCTGACCTGTATTCAACAATGGATGACGGTTCATTTTCCGCGATGAAATTTATTTTAAAAGACCAGATTCATAAACCAAGATGGACTAGAATTCCGCACGTGGATTCACCAAATTTAGTTTCGGCGATATTTTGGAACAAAAGAAGTCACTGGGCGGGCACGTTGCATCTCACCTTTGCAAATAATGATGACACACAAAGAGCTAATCGACTCCTGGAGAACATAATCCTTGATTTGTAATTCATTTTTCATGCAATTTTATTGTCGAGAGTATGTATAATTTTGAGAAGCATTTTTGAAAAGTGGGAAATAATTTAAATATTTTGTAGCGATTTGTAAATAAGGGAAAAGTATTGTTCCATTATTAATTTGATGACGATAAATAAATTCCTTGAAAATAATCAATTGAAAAATGGAGAGGATTGTTTGTAATTAATTAGAATGAGATTGTAAAATGGACCCAATTTTATGAAGGGATGGAAGTGAAAGGAGCAGAAGAAGAAGATGTGTAATTATTAATAATTAAAATGTAAATTAAATTAAGAATCTGATAATGATTAATCACAGGAAAAATTTATACTACGAGATTAAAATCGAGGACAGAATTTTTGAAAAGTAATTTGTAATAAAAATCGTGACAAAAAATTGAAATGGTTTGTAGAGATTTTTATGAAATTTACGCGGATTTTCCATTTCCATTTACTATTTCCGTAGCATATTTTGACGGTATAATTTTCATACGAAGCGGTAGCAACTTTAATACCGAGAAATCAATGCGTGAGTATACCTGATTTCTAACAGCATATATATGTAGGGCAAGTGTTCAGCAAAGGTCCCACTTATTAAAAAATAGCTAAAACTTTTATCCTTAGAAAAATGCAACCCTTTTGAACTATTTTTAGTCCAGTAACAACAACCCTTTCACTAATTTTTTGTTCATATTTTATACAAAAACTCAACCCTTTCCTCCCCCAAATAAGTATGCGTGTTCACTCCCCAAAAAGAGGTGCATTTGCATATTTACCTTCACTAAAGTCGAGCGTTACCTCAGTGTCACACCTTTCCTCTGCTGTCACGTGGTACTAATTAATATGGCGTTATACCCACCACCATCACCACCAGAATGCATGGTTAACGATGAATCCGGGACCACACCCACCGTAACGGGGTTACAGACTTCCTTTGCGAAATTGGAAATAAATCAGGAGGTAAGTGAATTAGGGGGAAAGTACATAAGTCCATATTATTAACTTAAGATGCAGATTTGTAAAGTACCAAATTTAAAATATTTACAATGCTGAAAAAAACAATGTTGAGTTTCATAAAATCGAAGAAACCTACTTACCAATCGAATCTTAAATAATCGAAGAAATACTATAATTGATAATATTTTATACATATTTGGGACGGTAATTAATGGGTGATGGATAGGGTTTTACATTGTCAGTGTCAACGGAATAAATGTCATGTCATAAATGTCATGACATGTCAATTTGTCAATTTTTTGTCATAAATGTCACAGCTTCAAAATGTATGACATTTATGACAAATACGACGGACATTTATGACATTTGTCATAATTGTCAATCTCAATATGCCCCGTGACCTGGTAATCTTGGTAGCTGCTATTAAAACTCTGCTTTCTCTCATTTGAATTCAACGAGTCAACAAACGTTCTTGTTTTATCGCCAACCATTTGTATTTATATATATCTAACAATAAGTATAACGTCAAGTTTAATTACGGCCGTTCACAGTTTCATTCAAGAACTATAAAGTTAGGAATTTCCTCTGTTCCACCTGCTTTAATTTTATCTATAGTTCTCTTAGTTTGATTGCCAGGTAAGATTCCGTCCCCGGTCTACAACTGTGAATATTTAAACGTTGTAAGTATTGCAGTACAGTTAACTTTACCACGTTGGTCGTAACTGGAAACTTTTAGAAAATATGCACCGAGCTGGCTGCAACTTCCTGTATATCCTGCTGGATAAATTATGTATTGGGATTCGAGTGAATGAGTCTAAACTCTGTAGACTACCAGTGGTCCAAGCTTCATATTGGTCTCATGTTTAACGAAAAATATTTTATGTTACCGGAAAAGACAGACTTCGGGTCAATATAATTGGAAGCAACATGTCTGGAATCGGCTAACGCTTCCAAATGAATTCTCCAAATAAAGCTAATGATCAGAAACAAACGGAATAAGTTGTAATTTTAAGAGCAAAAGTCGTAAATATAATATTTCCAATGTCGTCCGCAATAAAAAAATTAGATGAGAGGAAACATGTGTAACTGAGAAGCAAAATATACCGCCTACGATGATCTTTTATGTGTGGAAAATGAGATAAAAAAATGAAAATGTCATAATTGTCAATGACAAGTTGCCAGAAAAGTTGACAATTTCGAATTTGACAAATTTTCATAAATGTCATAATTGTCAATAAAAATAAATGTCTGACATTTATGACATTTATGACATGTCAAAATGTCATGACAAGTTGACAATGTAAAACCCTAGTGATGGATAACCTTTTTGCATAATATACCCTGGCATACAAAATTCTACGACGATATTGATACACTTAGAAATCTGATAATCAAACAGGTATTGATTTCTCGGTAATAAAGTTGCTACCGCTTGGAATTGAAATAATACATACGAGACTGTAGTATTTGACAGACCTGACCAAATTAGTAATTGACAATTACAATTACAATTACAAATTACAAATTACAAATTAGTAATTGTAATTTGTAATTTCAATTACTTCATTCGAGAAATGTAATTGTATTTGTAATTTGTAATTGAACTAAATGTAATTGGTAATTTGTAATTGCACATTTTCACATGGTGTAATTGTAATTCAATTACTTCTTCAATTACAATTACTAAATCACCATCTATTGTGATTAAAACCAACCAAAAATCCCTGTTTTTGTTAAATCGACTGTCTTTCACATGCGAAAATTTCACTGCATGGCTTTCATTTTCTGAATTAAAATAAACATTATTTCGCAGTCGCGATTTTTTTTATTACATTAGAATTAATGGTAGGGTGTATATCACATTGAACCTCATGCATGAAAATAAGTAAATGCTACAAATTATGCAATTGAAGTTTAAGATAATTACTAATTGAGATTGAGATTTTTAAAATGATAATTCATCATTTAATATTCAAATAATTTCAATACTTGTTCACTTTGGACAATATACATACTGATAAATGCTTTTACTTGCCAAATTTGCCCCGTAAATTATTTTTTCTAGGTGGAAATTTTGATGCAAAGGCATTTACATTGTTAAAAGTGAACAAGTATTGAAATTATTTGAATATTAAATAATAAATTTTCATTTAAAAATCTCAAATGTAATTGTAATTTGTGATGTAATTCAATTATGCAATTAGTAATTAGTAATTGTAATTGAAGCGAAATTTTTTTAGAGAAGTAATTGTAATTTGTAATTAGTAATTGAGTTGTCTTGAGTAATTGTAATTTGTAATTGTAATTGAGGCAATGTTGTGATTGTAATTGTAATTTGTAATTTGACTTTTAAGTAATTTGGCCAGGTCTGGTATTTGATACGGATATAGTAACACAGTTGCTAGATCGGATTACTTATCTATACCACTTTGGTATATGAATACCGCTTGGTACTATTGTAATACCAGATTTCTAAGGGTGTATACATACACAGTGTGAACATAGCAGTAAAATATGATCAATTAAAATTAAATGAACTCAATTGTATTTTTTAGAATCCTGCACCAATGTCCAATAACAATGAAGCAGAGCCCCCAACCGTCTTACCCACGCCCTCCACGATTTTACCACTGCCTCCCTCAACCACCTTATCAACGCCCTGCTCCACCTTATCAGCGCCCTCAACCACCTTATCAACGCCCTGCTCCATCATATCAGCGCTCTCCTCAATAATATCAGGCTCCCCGACCATCTCACCACTGGCTCCCTTATCAACGTCGTCCTCAACCTGCTTACCATTGCCGCCAGCCTACTTACCGAACCCTATTTCCCAAGTGATACGAGTATCTTCTGCATATTGGATTGTTTCTAGCGCTTTGGGATCTTATCTGACAAAAGCCGTCCCCAGAAATCTCTACCTGAACGTTAACGGCTTCACCCGGACAGCCCAACTTTTTTCGACCCTGGAGGATGGCACCCTTCCCGTGATGGAGTTCTTTTTACACGATGCGGTCAACAAGCTGGTGTGGACGACAATTCCGTGCCATGATTCAAACCATTTGGTGGCTGCCACATTTCCGAACAGGTGGGGAGGAAATTCGGTGGGAACGTTGCATCTGACCTTCCCGAATGCAAATGACACTCAAATAGCACGTCGACTCCTGGAAAATCTGATACGAGGATTGTAAATTAAATTAAATTAAGATTTTGACTTCATTTTGTAGCGATTTTTACTGAACAAAAATGATTAAGCAGGGTCGTGGTAATGTTTTGAAATTGCAATTTGTTTTAAATTTTGTAAGGTCATGATATAAAATAAATCGACATCTGTGAAATTTACGATACATTTGTGCTCTGATTTTGGTTCATAATCTTAAAATTCGAAAATTTGAAATTTACATGATTCACAAAGATCCGCAGGAATTGGGAAATTATGGGAAAAATGCCGATCAAAATACCGATCTTTGTAAGTTTGAGATACATACATTTGTTGCATACTTTTAATTCGAAATCTCAAAAATTTCCGGAAATCAACGGTTTTTTATTGGGCCACAAATGTTTGAGTGAATTGAAAAATCTTGTACATTGAAATCCACCCACAGTTTTTTAAGATGTGAATATTGCACCTATATTTTTACTCATACAGATATTTTGCATGTACGGCTATCTCAAATCTAAGAGTGTTATCTTTCTCTTTTTAGCTCGATACAAGGCTTATGCGCCAGTCATGGTTGTCTGTCGGTCGGTCTGTCTATCGATTACGCCCGAAAAACTTATCCAATCGACCTGAAATCTTGGACACATGTACGGCACGCACAATTAAGAATCAATTTTTATTGATATAAAATTTCAGTAGAAACTACAAATTTGTTTAATTTGGTAAGATGAACACGCCAAAAAATATATATTTTTTAACTTACAATTGCGTACGTATAATTAGATTGTATATTTCCCTACAAAATTTAGGCTAAATAAATCACTTTTTTAACTAAAGTTTCCGAAAATTACAATTTTTTATGCTCAAATAACAATGAGCCAAATATGTCCCAAGCTTCACATTTTTAGTCCAAGTCAGGATTTCTGTATTAGTCCCGGTTGTCTGTCTGTCTGTTTGTCTATTTGTATCAATTATGCTCGTAAAACTTATTCAATCGATTTGAAAATTTTGCACAATATAAAACATTCAAAATTAGGAATTGCAAAAAATAAAATTTCGGGAACTGCAAAATTGGGAATCAGGCAAGAAGATGAGCAAAATCTGTAGCAAAATTTTTAAAAAAGTTGCAGTACCCATCTCAATTATTAATAACAACCTGACTCGGGCTAAATAAGGCTGCACTGCATTGCATTTTTTAGGTACGCCTATGCAAGTTATGTATGGAATGAAGATGAGCAAGATCATCTTCATCATCTAAACAAGCTTTGCGTATGTACAAGATGATGAAAACAATGGTGAGGTGACTCCAACGAAGCGATTGCCTCATTATTGACTTGACTTTTGCCATGTGGTCAAAAATTCGAATTCTTCACGCTGCGTTTCTTGGCAAAGTAACAATAAATTTAATTCTCTGGGCAGACCGGAGATCAGCAGGTTTCCATTTCGGGGGGTTAATAAATAATAAATATGCATGCATGCGTATTGGGTGGTACTGAATATTAATATTTCTCATTGAAATTGTTCTGCTGTGCAAAATACGAAATTTTTAGCTCCGAGCATGGATTTCCAGAGGGAAATCCCACATTTATTAGGTATTTATGCTAATTATTTAGGTATTATTTAGTATTTACTACTTGCAAAAAAATCTACACAATCACCCTACAAATCTGTAATAAATTCTCACATTTGCCAATTGAGCAAATTTCTTGAACGACGTCTAAGCATAGCACTTTTTCATGGAACAAGTTCATGAAAACTAAAAACTACGGAATATTAAGACTAAATTCCCTCGGATGTTTGTAATGTAACCGACCGTGGAAAATCAGGTTGCAAACAAAGTTTATATACACAATTAAATATTGTTGGCATCAGTGTAATATAATTAAAAATTATTTAAAGTACAGTAATTTTGGGGTATAAATGTATTTTATTCATGTATTTGCAAATAAAAAATGTGGCTGGCGAAAAATTATGAATAGTAATTCACGCAGTCACTGGCAATTTTGTTAAATAATTTTACAAACGTTTACAATATAAAAAGACTCCCTTGATCTAAGGAGGATGAGTAAATTTCCACAAATTTTTCCTTTGAAATGTTTGCAAAATTGTGCAAAAGTTTATAAGTTTGCGAATTTTACAATGTTATCAAGGACTGTGTGAATATATCCTAAAATTTGTTTAATGCCAGTGAAAAGTTTAATACGTTGGTTACGATTGTAATGCAACCTGCCTACCGAGAAATTTATTTGGTAAGAAAAACTCGAAATTTTCAATATCGACATTGAGGGTATTCACGCACCTTTGGTAACTACGTAAACAGCGTAAAATCCGTAAACTTACAAACGTTTACAAACAGCTTCCCGTGAATTCACTTTCGCAATTATTTTCGTAAAAATTTATCTGATAATTGAAACAAAATGCCGATCATTTCCAGAAAACGGAAATTAATGGAAGAAATTTGTGGAGCTGCATTTATTGATATAATAAATACCACGAACAGTGAAGGCTGTTCCTATAAAAATTTCGAAATTCAACCCTCCTAAATTCTAATCCTAAATCACACTAAATCTTAGCTGAATATATAACTTCTTAGAAATCGGTATGGGTCACCCCAACGGGTCCCGGATGTGATTTTTTACCAATTCCACTTCATATTCTTCCATTAGGAGCCTTTAGCAGCCTCTATACCAAATTTCAGCTCGATTGGATGATTTTGAAAAATCGGTATGGGTCACCCCTTCGGGTACCTCCAGATGAAAAATTTTCCAATTTCACTTCATATTCTTTCATTAGGAGCCATTAGCAACCTCTATGCCAAATTTCTGTATCGAACAAATTTTTTTCTTCCGCAAATTGAGTTTACAAAATACTTTACAAAATTAAAAGACGCCTGTGAGCTGCGTAAGTTTACAAAAGTTTGTAAACTGATTTTCCTTGACAATTTTTGTAAAAGTTTGTAAACGTTTGTAAGTTTACGGATTTTACGCTGTTTACGTAGTTACGAAGGAGGGCGTGAATTGCCTCAATTATTGTTAAACAATTTCGTAAAAGCAAAATTGTTTCCTGGCTGTTTTTATTTTACACAATTACCTACTATGAAATTGACTGCGTGAATTGCCCAAATGTTTTAACTAATTTATAAGCGAATTTTCTTTTGAAACATTTGCAAATTAATTTTTTGAGAAATTTTCAGGATTATCGTCAAATATTAACGCCAGATTTGATATTTTTTATAAATTTTTGTGCTAATTCAAAATTTCAGATCGACGATACCTCTAAGGATAAGTTTTTTCAAGTTCTTTAAATTTTGCAAATTTACAGAATTTACGGGATTTCAAACCAGGAGTGAATTGCTCAATATTTTACATATTTCCACAAACTCAGGTGGATTTGTATTTATGTTTATGTTTATTTATACTCAGAAATATATTGAGGCGATTCACGCAGGCTTTGGTAATCTTACAAAATCCGTAACCTAACAAACTTTTACAAAATTTTACAAATATTTCGAAGGAAAATTAGCTCCCAAATTTTTGTAAATTAACTCAAATCAATTTTTTTTATGTTGCATACGTTTGTAAAATTACTTCACAAAACGTACGGATTTTACAAAGTTCCCAAGGACTGCATAAACTTCAGATTTTTTATCAATTGCATTTTTTTACGTAAAAATTGGGCCACGTTCACGTCACGTTGTTCTACAAAATCAGATATTTCAGAAATTAATCAAATACTCGGAATCATGAAAAAAGTATATTAAAAAAAACGTTGATCAGATTTGCGTACAAGTTGTGTGCGTTAGCATAAAAATACAAATATCATAAAGAGACCTTTGCAACAACTTTCGAACATTATTTCTGAAATTTCAAATTTTGGCGTTTCAACCATTCAATTTCGAATTATGTAAAAAGTCAGCATTTTCAATGCAGGAGTTACTAAACAGAAGAAATAATTTCATTTAGTTTCTGATAAAACTTTGACCATGTGCAAACTTAAATAGATAGATCCGCATCGACAAGGTAAGCAAGTATAAGTAACTTTATAAAATTTTACAAAACTTTTACAAAATTAGAAGGAAAATTAGTTCCCAAAAATCAGACATTTCAGAAATTAATAGAATGCTCAAAATCAGAAATTATAATACTAAAAAAATATATTTGCCACATTTGCATACAAGTTGTGTGAGATTACCGGTCAACTATCTTTCAAATAATTTTACTATGTTATCTCTCAAATTTTCAATTTTGGCGTCATCACCTTAAAATTTCTAATTATGAAAAAAATCAGCATTTTAAGCCAAGTCATAATTTCAATTAGTTTCTGATAAAATTTTGGAGAGCTACATATTACTTTAAATTATGCATCTATGGAACACTTCATTAATCGAACATGTGCAACGCCGTTTTAAAAACATCAGTGAATTTACAAACTCGTATTAATTTACTACCAGATGAGTCAACATTGTCACAGTAAGTCTAAAAGTTCTTTGTAACTTTGTAAAATTCCTAAAGTTACTAATTTTTATAAAATTTTAAAACCATTTCTGAGGAAAATTAGCTTCCAAATTTTTGTAAACTTACTCCGATCAAATGCATCTTTTTATTTTGTAACAGTTTACAAAATTATTGTATAAACCTTACGCATTTTACAAAGTTACCAACGACTGCGTGAATTGCCTGGGTAATAAGTTAATTTAAAGTTTTCCTTTGTCTTGTCATCGAGGGTGTGGTTTTGCATGGTGCATAAGCCAGCGGGATTGTGTAGGGTTAAAGGGCAAAGTGATTTCGAGATGAGAATGATAAATCATCTTTTGACTGATGATATCATTCTGTGTGTGTGGTGTTGTTTGTGTTTTTTTAATTGAATGAATTCCATCCTTCCTCATTTGCATATTGTGGTAGGTGATGATGATCATCTCGTCAATCGTGTCCGAAATTTTGTAAGCAGGGTGTTGCATAAACGGTGTGATTAATTTGAAAGGGTGTGAGGTCAAGGTGTCAAAATTCAACCAAAATCGATGTCAGGTTTTACGTAAGAGTTTTCAATATTTCACGAACTGGTAATTAATTTCATAGTAAAATTATCCAAAATTATCCAAAATCAAAATTGTTAATTTCTACAAACTTAGTAATTTTTTTGTAAATTTTGAGGCAATTTATAAGTCCGGCAAATCTCAGAAAATCTTGCCCGAAATTTTTTAAGCAGGGTGTTGCATAAAAGGTGTGATTAATTTGAGTTGGTTGGAGGTCAAAGTGTCAAAATTCGACCAAAATCGATGACAGGTTTTGCGTAAGGGGTCCATTATTTCGCGAATTAGTGATTTCATAAAGAAGCAAAATTGTCCATATTTTTAAAAATTTCGTAGTTTTTTTTTGTAAACTCTGAAGCAATTTACAAGTCCTCTTAAAACGTTGACCATAAATAAACTAATTAAAATCACAAGTAACTTAAAAAACATAAATCTAAATGACTAACATGGGTTAATTTCATGACAAATATTAAAAATGGAGTTAAACTAATACAGAAAAATAAATTCACAAAAATTATTCAATGAGGTAAACGATTCACGAAGTCCAACGTCTTTAAAACGATCATTTCACCAGAAATTGAAGGAATCTAAAATGTGTAATAGTGTTATAATTTTATGCAAGTTATTTTAATGGCGTTGAAGTTGTGAGAAATTTAGTCCGATGTTGATAAACTGCAGTAATTTTACGAGATTTTTGCGCAATCGGTGCAAGTAACACAAATTTGTGGGGTGATTTTCATTTTAACTTTTCAGAAATATTTACACATTAAAATGAGTTTATTTATGGTAAATGGCCTCTTGACAATTTCGTTACGTATTTATTGATATGTAATTTATCAAATGATTTTATTTTTATTTTTACGGATTTCAGAAAAATATGCAACCATTTTTTAGAAAAGTGTAGTGAAAATTGCAAAAAATTGGCTTGTGTTTGGTCTGTTTCGAGGATATTTTTTATTTATATATTTGTACTTACTTGTTTATATTTTTGTTTGTGTTTTGTTTATGCGTAGTTTTTTCTTAGGTGTGTGCTTGCTGTGTGTGTGTTCATCTTTAGTGGGCATACTCTGCTACGAAATTGCTGCTACAGCAGGTATGTCCCACTAAGAGTAAATTTACTAAAAATAACGATATTTATGTTAATGCGTATTTTTCATTCCTGGTCTAGCGGGAAATCAGTAAGTTTTTCAAGTTTGTTTTGTATTGATATTCTGTAAAGAAACAACAAGACATAAATATTAGTTAGTTACCAGTTCGAATCCCAGCAGCATTTCCTAAAACCCACAATCCCCGACACAGACCACTCGACCAACAAGCCATGGTTGAAATGGGATGGAGTTGAACTTGTATTTATTTATGCGTGTCTTTATTTATCCAAGCAAGTAAATAAGTCAGAAATCTATATTTTTAACTCGTATAGATTCATGAAATTAGTGCAAGATACAAAAATAGATTCATGAGGAATACGATTTGGTTTTAAATTATGTTATGCAAAAACGTAAATATTTATTTAATTATTGGTGAAACAGCATGTTCGTTTAGAGAACACATAAATTAGTTTTGCTATATTTTTGGTTTTCATTTTTAAATGGGGAAATCAAATTTATACAACATAATAAATATAAAAATAAATATCTCAAGGTATTGAAATTATAGATATTTAATGAAGTAATTCCGTGATTAGTTGTCTGATCCAGCCTAACTTTACGCGGCGAAATGCATGTAAAAATGTCTTTAATTTTAATGCCTCAACCATAACGTAAAATGGACAAATCTAAATTACCAAGATTTGTTAATTTCAAACGAAATATTAAAAACCGAGTCAAACTAATTAAACTTAAATCAACAAAAATTATTCAATAAGGTAAGCAATTAATTCTAATTCTAAGGTAAATAATTCTAATACCAAGCGGTGGCAACTTTAACACAGAGAAATCAATAGCTGCCTGACTATGGCAGATTTCTAACAGTAGAATCATTAACTTTTGGCTATTTTTAGCTTAATCGGTATGTTAATTGTTACAGTAAGTTTTAATTTAGTAAATTGTGTGATCAAGAAATTGATGAAATTCGCAAACTGTGCTACTTTTATGAAATGGTAGTTCGTAGTTTATATAATAGGGAAGCAATCTTACAAGGGACACTCACGACCTGTCGTTTGAGTCCAGAGTACCCACTATGTTTTTTAGAATCTACTAGGACCCCAGATGAAGGATCCATTCATATTTCCGTGTAAAATTCATATTTGGCGCCATGGCGTGGCGCCAAACTTAAAAATTTGCATTTTCGCCCAACTTCAAACCCCCATAACTTTTGCATTTTATGTCGGGTTTTCAAAATTTTATGCTTAAAATGATCACAAAAGTCGAAATTTTTGACAAAAAAATAAAAATAAAAAATTTCTAATTTTTGCAATATTTTTAGGATTTTTTCGACGAACCCCCATTTCGAAGAAAATTACGAAATTTTGCGAAAAGTTAAAAGCGATAATTTTAGAAAAAATTTCATGGAATAAGAAAAGTTGAACTCTTTGTCATGATTTTTGCCAAAAATTTTGAAAATCCGTCCAGGATTTCAAAAGTTATAGCGGTTTCAAAAATAAAAACATTCAATTTTGGCGAATTTGGCGCCACGCCACGTCGCCAAATATGAGTTTTACAAGGAAATATGAATGAATCCTTCATCTGGGGTCCTAGTAGATTCTAAAAAACATAGTGGGTACCCTGGACTCAAACGACAGGTCGTGAGTGTCCCTTGTTAGTAAAAATTGCAGCCTGATTTTCACTCCTAAATTAGGAGTCCTAATTTTACAAATTATTACAGATTATTATTACAGATTATTATACAGATTATTATTACAGATTATTTATTAATAAGGCAGAAAATCGAATTTAAATGTTCTAACATTATTCAAATTTTTTGAAAGTTATTTTAATGGTGTCGAAGTTGTGAGAAATTTAGTCCGATGTTTATATACTGCAATAATTTTACAAGATTTTTGGTGCAACTTACGCACATTTGTGGGATGATTTTTTTTCATTCCTACTTTTGGGATATATCTGCACATTTCATGCAGATTTTTTCTTCTGGTAAATATCCCCGTAACAATTTTGCTACGTGTTTATTGATATAATTTATCAGTCAGTAAAGTAAATATTTTTTGTAGGATTTTTACAGATTTTTTGAAAAAGATGTAACGATTTTTCGAAAAGTGTGCAATGAAAATTGCAAAAAATTGGCTTGTGGTTTGTCTGTTTCGGGGATATTTTTATTTAGATATTTGTACTTACATGTTTATATTTTGTTTTTGTGTTTTGTTTCTGCGTATAGTTTTTTCTTAGGTGTGCTTGCTGTGTGTGTGTGTGTTCATCTTTAGTGGCATACTCTGCTATGAAATTGCTGCTACAGCAGATATGATGTCACACGAAAAGTAAATTTATTTCAATTTTAAAATTGCGTAATTTATGTTAATGCGTATTTTTCATTCTTGATCAGTTGGTTTTTAATAGCTTTTATATCTGTAAAGAAACAACGACACACAAATATTAGTTAACCACCAGTTCGAATCCCAGCATTATTTCCAAAAATCCACAATCCCCGACACAGACCACTCGACCAACAAGCCATGGTTGAAATGGGATGGAGTCGAACTTGTATTTATTTATGGGTGTGTCTCCATTTGTACAAGTGAATACAAAAATAGATGAGAAATACGATTTGGTTTTAAATTATGTTATGCAAAAATTAAAATATTCATATGTACTCAATTATTAGTGAAAATTGAATGTTCTTCAGAAATGATTTTTGTTATATTTTTGGTTTTAATTTTTGGCCAAATTTGTACAGAATAGTAAATATAAAATTAAACATCTCAAGGTATTTAAATGATAGTCATTTAATTAAATAACTTCTAGTTGTCTCATTCAAAATTACTTTACGCGGCGAAAGCCGTTCCATTTTCTTTGAATGACATAGCTTCCAAATAATCAAAAAATAAATCAACTGTGAATTAAATTTTTCAAGATTTCCGTAACTTTCACGTCATTTTGATCATTTTGGTAATTTTTCATAGTGATTTTTAAGTATTGAAAAGATAAATCTCATAGCCAAAACGTTTTTACAGAAAATTCTGAAAACGGGTTTTCGAGATTTTTGAAAAATTTTCGCAATTTTTTGGCAAAACGTTATTGTTCATGAGAAAAAATAGAGACAAAAATCATTAAATTTTTCGAAATTAAATTTTGTAGTTCCATGTAAATATAAATAAACCCTGCCAGGTAAAGGCTCAGATTTTATTGTTCCTATTTTTAACAAACACTAATTATGAGTACATATATGTAGAAATTTATTTGAATAATTTGAGCGTTTATTTGAATCTGTAAATTGTTGATTTTATAGAGGTGAATTTATCAAAATTTTTACATGTTTCACATTTTTTCCCAAATATGTATAAACCTAACTGATAAATACGAATTGAAAATTATTTTGATCTCTTGATATACATTTTTGTTTGCATGTGTGAAATAATGCATGTGTGGATAGCAAAAAGGGCGTTGTTTGATAAGATTAGTGATCAATAAGGCAACTAAAAAATTAATAAAAGTGGACGACTGTTAACAAGTATTTTTAATTTGAAATTTGTGCAAATCATGATTTAATTATTGTCATTTTCTTTCGCTCTCGAAATATATTTGTGTATTTAATTTTGTTTGGATGCAGAAGAGAGATTTATATTTTGATTCTGTTCATTTGGAAATATATTTGGAAATGTGCAAGTTTGGGCTTGCTTTTTGACAAATTTTTGTAACGGTTGCTTCAAATCTAGGGACGAAGACAGCAATAAATTAATGATTAAATGGAGTAAAAAATTGTAACATTGTAAAGTCGAATAGATAAAATTTCGGAATTATGTTGTTTAATGGATAGTAAAAGATATTTATGACAAATGGACAAATATTAATTTTGTAACAAAATAGTGAGAAATCATTAAAATTTCACGAAATCACTAAAATTTTACTAAAATATTACTAAAATTTCACTAAAAATTTCATAAAATCCATAAAACTTCACTAAAATTTCGCTAAACATGCCTAAAAATGTTATACTTAATTATACTTACAATTAGTTATACTTAATTTCACCGAACATTTCATAACATCACTAAAATTTCAAAATAGTACGTGTTTTGGGGTTTTCCTAAATATCAATATTTTGTAAAAAAAATTCCTGTTATGTGAAAAATATGAAATTATTTCGGCTATTTTTTCAAGAACATAAATCTTGTCAATATTTGGACAATTTTTCTAACCAATTCTTTTCTACAAAAAACGAACTATAAAAATTATAGTATTGAATTTGCCCCGGTAATAAAAAAAAATTATTGGTTGGATTCACTCGCATCAATTTGTTAGAAATTTGAGAGAAGCAGAGATTTTTTTGGAAGACAATAAATTTCCAATATTTTTGATGTATTTGTGTTTCCAATTTTTACAGAATTCCGTGGATGTATTCACGACAAGTTTGGTTGGAAAATCTTGAACATTGAGCAAAGTTTAGCAAGTTTTTTTAACGTCAGTTTGTTGAGAGAAGAGGTTTTTTGCAAAAAAATTGACAAACACGATTTCCAACATTTTGGAGTTATTTGCCAATTTTTTTTTTAATTAGGGGGCGCACGACAATATTGGTATCTCGATAATTGAGCATAGTTTTTCAAAATTTGCAACAATGGAAAAAAAAATTAATTTGAAAAACTTCAAGAAAGTAAGTAAATCTATGCAAAATTATTTAGCACCTGGGCTTAAAATTTTAATTAAATTTCCGTTAACATTTTGCAATTTATCTTTAGATCCTGAACAAAAAATTACCTAAATAGTATTTTTAATTAATTATTAGCATGATGCGAATTAATAATTTCGACGTTTAGTCAACGCATAAAATTCGATTTACTAACGCCTGAAATAAATCGAATTTTAAAAACCGGCAAAATACCGGAATTAGGAAAAAAGATCCACAAAAATTACCAGTTTCAGGAACTATACAAAACTCCCATGACAAAATTCCCAAATTATGAATGCAACATGCACAAAGATTTGTGAAGTTTTAGGTTTTTAAAACTTAAAAAGGTGACTATTTTCTTGCAACATTATTTCGCACAAGTATTTGCAAAATAAATAAACTGCGCTAATAATAAAGAAAATGAGCAATTAGTAAAAAAAGGTGTTTTTACAATTGATGTGACATGTGTCAAAATGGTGACCAAAAAACCAAAAATTTGCGTTATGAAGTTTACGAGCTTGCGAGTTATGAAGTTACGAACGTCTCCTAAAGCTGAAAATTTGTATGCAATCTCTTTTACATGCAATAATCATTTCAAATCGTAAGGGCACAATTTACTAGTCATATGCACGTCAAACTGTTTCGCAATACAAATTCAAATCGCAATAACGATGCAAATAAATTAATTGTTAATTAATTACAAAGCCAAAACTAAGTATGACGGTTTTTAATTACTCGTTATCTTTATTCCATGTCAAATTTTAAATATTTATCAAACAAATAAATACCTGAAAGTGTTTTGTTTTTAATTTTCGATTCCCTTAATTAACTCCATCTTTATTTAGCACACAATTACATACTTAGCTGATTACGAATGACTAATTTTTAGACAGAAATATTTCCACAGCAAAATATTTACGTAGTCTCCTATATGTATGTAAAAATATAGCTTAAATTACTTCAAAATTGGTTTCACACACGATTTATTAAAATTAATTGTTAATTAATTAATTATAAAGTCACACAATTAAATTAATACGAGTCACTATTATTTATTTACACCTTTTGAACAACTTCTGGAGAGATCGGGTCGACATTATTATAGTCACGTCATCCTCGTCTTAATAATAATTCCGACAGGAAAGTAATACACTAATTCACTCAGATGTTTGTAAACTGTGCAAAATCATGGTACAAATTAGTACAAAATTATGAACCATGTAAATTTACAGAGTTACAAACAACCAAGTGAATCTACAACACAGAAAATTAATACCACCAATTCACTCAGATGCTTGTAAACTGAGCAAACTTTTTGCAAAATCATGGTACAAATTTCTACAAAATTACGAATTTTGCAAAATTACGATTCCCGTAAATTTACAGAGTTACAAACAACCAAGTGAACCAACAACATTTTACTTCCTGTCAATCATTAATGTTCCGAGTACTCGTCGTTAACGTCGTCGTCGTCGATGTTATCACCACTGCCGTCGTCGTAGTCGTCGGTTGAAATGGGTTAGAAACCTTGGGGAAATTTAAATTGAAAGCGGGAGCATTACTATTACTAGCGACAGGACTGCCCAAGTTCACGTTGCGCCGGGGATAAGCAAGGATTCTAGGCGTACCGACGGCGGAGGAGGCAGAGGTGTGACGAATGACAGAAATATGTCGCGTCGTCGGCGCACAGGGGGCACGTGGCAGCGGTGGAGAAATATAAGGACGTAGCGACATCCCCGATCCGGTTGGGACAGAGTAGGTGTCCCCCTCGCCAAGATTGATGGTCACCTGGAAGTCGGGGAGACAAAAGAAAACAAAAAACAAGGTATTTTTGGGAATTTTCAAAAAATAAAAAACGTCAAAAGCTTCCTCTTTCTCTCTCTCTCCACGTGGGTAGCACATGTCTCTGCAGGATTTTGGTCCAGGTTTAAAATATTAGAGAAAATTTTGAAGAAAATTTCAAGCAAAATTAAGTGGAATTTTAATCCTAGTTAGTCTTAATTAAAAAATTATGAAAAAAAACTACTACAAATCTACGAAATATGTATTTGTAAAAAATAATCTATCTCCTGTTTCCTCCTGTTTTTTTACGGTTGCTGATTTTGGTTTACCTGCTGCTGCAACCCAGACGAATTTACCACAACGTTACTTCCCACGGTGAACTTGGGTAGCGTCGGCGTGGTCGGGGTGGTAGGACGGACGGGGACGGGAGGTGCGCCCATGACGGGTTTGGAGGCGGAGGAGGTGTGTTGTTGCGTCGCGGGGATGGATTGTTGCGGGGTTGGGCGGAGAATGCCAGGTGCTGGAGTGGACGAAGGGGCTTTGGCGTCTTGGGTTTTTAAGACTTGCGCCAAATAGCCGAATTCGGTTTTGTAATCTTCTAAAGTGTCGGTGGCTGGGCGGGAGGATTTTACGATGGGGGCGACGTATTTCTGCAAGGAAATAAATGGTTAGACGACAAGTAGGGAATTTTGAGGGTGAAATTTATTGTATATATTTTGTAGTGGAGAACGTAATATTTTTCTTGAAAATTGTACCGTTAAAATTTGAAGCAGTTTTCCATTTCAAATCATAAATTTAATACATTTTGGAATTAGGGAATTGCTGTGGGCGTAGTGTATTTTGCACAGTGCGAAAACTTTTTCAAATATTTTAGGTACAATTTTCTTTACAAAATTGCACCTTCAAATTTTGTTTAAAATTCTACACTTTTTGCATAAATTTCGTGATAATTTAAGTTATTTATTTTTGTTAAATGTGTACTCACTGCAATAATGTGTCTAATTTTGACACATGACGCTTTATCTGCTTGAGTATGGCCCACGCCTTCCAGACAAAGTTCTAACCGATCCCCGACATCTTTAAGTTTGGGGATGACGAAGGTTTTGATGACTTCCGGCCCCAGTTCACAGAGCCCAACGATTGAGCCATAGACCGAGGAGAGGGGTGACTTCTCGTTAATGAGAGCAGTGCAAAATATCCGAGTTATCCTCGTTTGCACATTGTTGGTCGAGGTATTGTACGTCTTGCAAATTTGGGCGATAAGTCGAGCAGCAAAGTCGCGGAGGGCCCAGTGGTTATCGTGCTCGGGGCGACCGCAAAGTTGCTTGGACACGATACACGTCGCGACGGAGGGGATGATCTCGTGGAGCTGGAGAAGAAATTAGTTCATAATTAGTAAATAAGTATGGAGATAAATTCTTTAAAAATCGAGAAATTAATTAATAATTGTCAAATCTTGGAGATAATTTGTATTAAAAATTTGTAAATTTGAAATAAATTTAGTGCTTTTGGTTAGAAAATAACTAAATCCTGGACAGAATTTGTATTATTTCGAATTTTTAAACTTTTCAGTGGAAAATTTCAGCATCATTTTTGACATCGCCAAATATCATCTCAATGTGGAAAATATGGTAATTAGTTTTTAGCAGGTTTTGATATTTACATATTTTTCGAGGTAGAGGGTCTGATTGTCCAGAAGGGCGCGGACCATGCGCATGAGGTAGATGAGGAGAGCGAGATTGCACTGAACCACGTTAACACGGACGCCTTCCGCGATAAATGTGCATAATCTCGGCAACATTTCGTACAAACCAGGATCGTTCGTCAAACTTTGGAGGGCTTCCTGGAATCATAAATGTAAAAACAAAATTAAAAACCGAAATGGCCAAATTCCAAAAAATTAAAGAGCTAAATTAAAGATAGAAAGACAAATGCTTTCCAATTTTTGTAAAAAAAAACGACACGAATTTTGCTTAGGTTCAATTTCGCACTATCATTTTCGCAAATTCTTACCGTTCTTCTCGTCTCTTCCGAGCCTACGCAGGCCTCCGTGATCTCCTTGTAGTACAACTGCTGTTCCACGGAGAGTTCATGGGTCGCCAACTGTTTGACAAAGACTTGTTCACTGCTCTTGAACTTGATGGGTTTTCCCACCGTGGGGGTGTACGATCCCGTTCCGTTGGACTTGTTCCCCTTGGCCAACTTTGACGCCGGGTCGACACACTCGCTCCTCTGGAGGTCGATGGATTGAGGGGGCGGGTTTTCCGGAATGGCTGGCTGCCTCCCTTCTATAGCCAACCAGTGGGAACGGATGACTATATCGGCCGGGATTTTGGGGATGGGGGCGCCAACGACGTCATGAATGTCGACTTCTTTCTCTTCCATAAAGTGGAGTTCGCGACCTCCACCAGACGCAAAACGGAAAGGGGTCGACGTGTCGACTTGGAAGCCGTAGAGAGGCTGGAAAAGATGAGCAAGAGTATTATTATTTTAAATTATATACAAATTGTTAAATGTCATTAAAATACATGGTAGTTTTAATTATTTCTTAAACTTTAGCAAGAGTTAATTAGCTAAATTTTTGCAATAATTTCGCCAATTTTTTAAGGTGCTTACCTCTATATTTTTAATTTTTAGAGAATAATCGATATCCGCTGGGGTGAGTTTTGTCCGTCTAGCTTGCTCCATAAATTTGACGGCATCCTGCACCACAAGTTTTAATCGGTACGAGACATCTTCCGCGAGTTCTTTGGCTGCTTCGTCCTCTAAATTTGCAACCCCGACGGATTCCGCCATCGATTTGATGGAATCGACGAAGAGGACGGTGCCCGTGGCGGAGGATTCCTTGTCGCCCATTATGACGAAAAGTATGTCGTCGACAAGATTCTATTTCTTGGAGTTTTTGTAACTTTTATCAAATTGCTATTATTATCAGTTGCACGGTCAGTTTCCTCCCTGCGTTAATAACAACAATTATTAAATGTAAAATTAAAGAGGAATTAATTTATTTAAAATTTGTCAAAAAAAGTAAACCGTAAAAGTAAATATTCTTTAAACCAGACTTTACCTTTATTTTGAGCTCTCCAAGCTCTCCTTGTCAACATCAAGAAGAAGCCATATTTTACCCTTTGTTACTATAATTCAAGAATTAATTAATTCCAGTAATTAATTATTTTCAGAAACTTTCAAAATTTAAAAAACCAAAAATCAACAAGCCGCATATAGTAAAATGTTGGAAGTTCCGCTAGCGGGGATGCAGTCGGGGCAGGTGAGATGATGTACATGGCAAAATAAAAACTTACCCTAAAATTTGCATAACTCATGATGATAAGCGGCTTATCATGTTAATGCGAATTTTTTGACAATAATGAAAATAACACTGTGATTACCACAGTACGCATTTTCTTTCAGAATTTACTGCTCCCGTATTATTACCTAAAAAAAAATCCAATTATAACAATAATGAGCACAAATTTTGCAAATCGTCGTCATCATACAGCAAAAAAAACATCTTGAATCACCATGATAAGTGACTTATCATGCCAAACTTATCAATATTTTGACAATGACAAAAACCACGATAAACATTTTCTTACAGAATTCGCTGTTCCACAAATATTATATCTAAAAATACCCAATTACGACAACAATTAGCACAAATTTTGCAAATCGTCGTCATCATCTAGCAAAAAGCATGTTGATTGATGTCAGTTTAGCCGAAGAAAAGGAAGAAGATGATCATTTTATGCATTATTTTTTAGCATCTGCTGCCGACTGAAGATGAGTTGCACGGCTGTCTGTGACTGACTGTGAAGTTGCCTACTTTTTTTAGTGTACAAGTTCGTTAGTTTTTTATTGTGCTGGGTGGCAGGGAAGTGAAAGAACTGCAGTGCCGATGCCGACGACGACGACGGAAGAATTGCATTTTCAGTCCAACCATTCTTTTGCAGCTGAGGCTGGGATGAAAAAATTTCGGTGAGTACAAAACAAGAATTTTTAGGAAATTTAAAATTGTAGTTTTTTTTAATTTTGGGAGGCGATGAAGCTTTGGTTTTTGGTTGATTGAAGAGGTCAGGAAGTTGAACTTGAAGGTGTGTCTATTAATTAATTTAGGAGGGGTTTGCTTGTTTTGTTTTAATTGTTTTTGGTTACTTTGTTAATTATTGAAAAGTGTAGTTTAAGGGTAGTGCCGAATTGATAAGGTAGTTAATGTTAAGGTTGAAGTGATAAATTTTTGCCATTACGTAAATTTTAGTGCTGTGCATTGTTCTGTTCATTGTTTTGTTTTGTTTTGTGGGTTTATTTACTTTGTGGCTGTATGTATGTATAATGATGATTTGAGTTAATTGAGGTGTCGTAACGGGATTATTTGCTATTCATTCGGATTAATTTGGATTAGATGGGTTTGGATGGTTTAAAATGTCAAGTTTTATCGCTACCGGCCTTGTAATTTTTTAGCGAGAAGTGTAAAAGTTGGAGGTGGTCGGTTAATTAAAAAGGGTTGTTTTTTCATGATTTAATAGTTAATAATCAATAAATGTAATGTGAATTAATTAAGATTAGTGTTGAATGATTACTTTGGCAGGTACGTCAAAAACTAATTGTTTTTTAATTGCAGGCCGCTACCTTCAAGCCAACATTTTACCCTATGACATCTAAATACTCACTGCTGCTACCCGTTATCTCAACGATATTACCCATCGAATCTCAAACCTTTCTTGCTTATCAGAAGAAGATAAACTCAAATTAAAGTAAACGGCTAACCATTTTCAAAGGTACTATTTACAAAACTCCCATTTAAAAAGAAACATAAAATCTAATCCCTTCCTTCCTGACAGAGCCTGCTTACTCACTTACTTATCTCAACTCCAATACTTTCCCCACCGGGACAATAAATAACCAGCGGATACCCGACGCATAATTATTATCGCCCCAAAAAAGAGACAAAGACTTCCACCCTACAACTCCCGGATTTTCGGAAGAAGAAACACCGGACTTTCCAGTGTTAGTGAGTGAGTGAGTGACCAATCCAGCCAGAGATCGGTCCATCTTCTACCCGGTTCTTGTTATTCCACCAAAATCCGGGTAATTTGTCCCGTCTCATTCCTCTCTCTCGCCCTGCTCTCTTCTTCGGCGGCTCTCGGTATCGGAGAAAACCAGTTGGAAATCTCACTCCCGAGTTCTTCCAAATACATATTCTGTCCCCACCACGGGTCTGATGGGTAGATGGTGAACGAGCGTCTTGTCGGCACAACGTCGCTCTCTTGTCACTCTGCAAGATCACCTCGACACGGACGCATGACATTCTTCGTCGTCGTCATCCCACGACCCTAGAAGAAGAAGACATCACTCTCATCTTCAACCCCACCCGACCGATAAGATATTCAACAACACTTCATTAAACTCGATCTCTTTAACAAACCGATTGTCAACGAAAAAAAACTATAGTGAAATCTGAACAAAGTGCGTGAAGCGTGACAATTTTTTTTATACGGACAATAAATACGCGCCGCACTTTTGAACAATTATTAAAACGAACAGTATTAAAAAATAGCATTATGAAGAAATCATCAGCATTCATCGTGGGATTGAGAGTGAAGAAAGAATGGTAAACAATATTTTTGATGTAATATTTTGCTTTTAAGTGTAAATTTCTTGCAAATTTTCATAAAATTTGATGTTGGCGATGAAGCATTTTATCTTTATCATGATGATTTGTGCTGCATGGATAATTTGGTGTTGTTATTTGGGATCATAAATATTAAACTTTTGCATTTTGGGGGACTGGGCATGAAGGAAGTGATCGATTATGGGGGGATTTTTGATGTTTTTTGGGGGGAATTTAGAAAACCCGCCCCCCTGAAATAAGTGGGGACACATCCTTCATGCCCGTCCCCCCTCCCGTTTCGTTACGGAAAATGGAATAAGTTTCTCTACTTTCGTTAATAAGTTTAATAAGTTTTTGCATCATGGAACGGACCAAAAGTAAAGTTTGACCAAAATTATGGCACCTTCTTGTGCTTATAAGTCATCTCTCGTACAGGGGCCGCGGAAGCCGTGCATGGGGACATCTGGGGGCATTAACATGGTAGAATAAGGGGGGTGGAGGGGGTCATATAACAATGGGGACATTAAACAACCGTGGGGACAATGTCCCTCTGTCCCCACGCTGCTTCCGCGGCCACTGCTCTCGTCCATATATCCGCTTTATTATATCCACGTTCTTTCATTTACTTGATATCTTTCACCGTTTACAGATCTGATTTCTGATCAGAATACACAATAATTTCTGATCAGAAATTATTGTGTATTTGGGCAATGCTTATTTTCGATTAATTTGCTCTCTGAATGGATAACTTGTTTCGAATCATCATGGGCGAGATTTTTTAAGGTATCTGTTTTTCACCACGACCACTTTTGATTTGGTTTTTGGGCCATATTTAGTTTTGAATGTTCGTGTTCATCATTTTCTTGACAATCAAAAGTTTTGCATAATGTGTTTATTTAGTTACTGGTTCAAATTGCAAATTACAAGGCATCTTTTGTGGATTGGATTGCATATTGGATTTGATTCGACGAATTGAATTGAATAATAAAATTGAGTGTTGAACTGGCTTATTTCGCACTAATGGTTTCATAAATAAGTGCCTTATTAATTATGAAATTGTAAATGAAATACATGTCTAGAGTTATTTTCATATCAGGATAAATGTTGGTTAGTATAATTTAATTAATTAACTACATAAAAGGCAATGCAAATATAATGTAAAGTTTGGCATGTTATCGGAAATCCCAACACTTTTAAGTCCTCTTCACATTGAAAATTGAAATACATTAGCTTGCCGTGATTATTATTGGGCTGGATAACAGAATTCTGTGAATAATTCTGATAGAATTAGAATTCTGTCGAATAATGCGACACGCGTTGACCTCGGTTTATTATTTGTCGTTTAATTCACCAGTAAACTGATTCGTGTTAGAGTTTGTGCCGTACATGATTGTATTGTGTCACGTATTTACGACACGTTTTAGCGGATGAATAGTAATTAATTAATTAATTAGTGGGACACTTACATACACACAAGTATTTGTAATGCGTGCTATGTATTTTGCACGCTTGAAACACATGCAAATCACGCCACTTTTTAAGGCTTCCGGATAGGATTGAAACTGTATACCAACACGAAGCTACGAGTTGACCTCGTGGTGGGTGTACGATGCATTTGACAATAAAATTATTCCTGTCGGGTATGTAGTTAGGCAATTACGATTGGAAAACACAGTTCTAAGGCATCTTTCTATCACAATGGAGGTCTCCCAAAATTATTTATGGTCACAGATTTTGACTAAGCTATAGTCTCAATCGATCACAAATTTAACTAGGGTGAGAAATTTGCCAAAAAGACAGACAAATATCTGCCAATAGTCAGAATTGGCAGAGAGTTTAGTTTGCAACTAAAGAGGAGAAAATGTGGAAAGGGTAAAATTTTTCAACTTAAGGCCATATTTCTCCTCTTCGGATGCAAATATCTCTGCCAAACGTGCCCATTGGGAGATGGTGTGTTTTGCAAATTTCATAGTAATTAAATTAGCAAACGATTGACACTAATTTGGTCAAAATTGTAGAGCATACCAGAGAGTAGCTGGGCAGCATGTTTTCAATGCCCAGCCCAGCCCAGCCCGAATTTCTTGGGCAATAAAATGCCCAGCCCAGCCCAGCCCATGTCTTTTGTGCCCGCCCGGCCCATGCCCACGTGGGCTGGGCTGGGCAGGGCATGCCCGAAAAACTTGGCCTGCCCGCTACACTCTGGAGCATACCTTCATTCTCACAATGGTTAGGTTTGACAATGTGGTAAATATAGCATAAATCGTGATATTGTCCATAATACAAATACGAGTCGCTTTTTACAAACACAATACACAAGTTTGCTGCGATTGCGAATAATAATTTCAATATGCCATCAAATTACGTACTTTTACGTAATTTATTACGTACGTACTTTTATGTCATCATCACCATCTCTTTAAAACATTTTACCAGGATCACATTCGATATTTGATGCTGTAAATGGCAGAAATTAGTTTCATACTAGCAGAACACACTAAATTATACTTTTTCTCACAACGCTGCCCATAAAGTTGATATTAGATTTTCATACAACGTGTCTTTTTGTTATCCGGGTCTAATAAAGTGGTCGAAATTTGTTTTTTTTGTTCGACACGTACACAAAAAAGCTATTAATTTACTATACACATTTGAAAGTCATCATCATCATCCAAAAATCTTTCTTGTTGACGCAGAAGAGGTGTTAATTTGTGATTTTCTCAACTTATGTACGTTATGGCAAAAAAGTTAGGAGTTTGACTTTTCGACTCTGCTAATTCGATTAGTGGTTGATGACGAGGTTGATGATTTTTATCAGAATTCGTATGGAAAAACAAGTTGGATAAGAAGATATTTATTTTATGTAGGGCATTATAAATAGTATTTTTTTCTAGGAGGTAAAATTAATCAAAAGTTTTCTAGCGAAATTTTTTGTAAGGTTTTTATTTCATTAGTTTTTTTGCGATGTGGGTTTTTTCAATTAAATATAAGTTTTTAAAGTTTAAGATGAAATGAAATTTATAGAAAAAAAGTTGAAGATAAATTAAATTAATATTATTTCTTTACGAGAAGGAAGAAGAAGGTCGTAATTTGTGCCTAATTTCTTATGGGATTTATGTAAAAAATTGAAACTAGAGAAAGGTGATTGAATTAGTGAAAGTTGAAATTTTCAAAATTTTGCAAGAAAGTCATAATTTGTGACAAATTTCGTTTACAATCAAGGTACGATTGTGTTGGGTATAAAAAATTGAAACTGGAGAAAGTTGGATTAGGGAAAGTTTAAATTTTCAAAATTTTATAAATACAAAATTATATACTTTTTCTGAAACTACGCCATAAAATGTGACCCATCTTAAGCCGAGGAAATGCCCCCTTTTGACTTTCTCCACGATTTAGACTTAGATTTTACTCCCTAAACCCAAAACTTAAGCAGATTTGAAGTGTTTAAAGAGAGAGGAAGTACATAATGCTTGTTTTTGTTTAAGATGGTTTTCAAACATTGAGTGGGAGGTGGAAAAGGTCAAAACATTTAGGAAATGACCTATTTTCCTGTTTTGTTATTGCATATGGTCTGAATTTGACATAAATTTTGTATGTATGTACATACATAATCAGGACCGAGAGAGAAAGTTGATATGAGATTTGTTTGTGGGCGGACGAGGAGTTCAATCCGTTTGAACGAGTCAACTACTTATGTGGATTTAGCCGTGGTTTCACTTTCAAGTGGAATCATGCCGTCATTTCGCCGGAGTTGGCTTTGAATTTAAAGTGAAATGAGTTATGTGGTGAAAAGAGTGGATTTCGTGGACAAAATTTTCAAACAAAATCTTTCAAAATTGTGTGTACACCAATTTACACTCGGTTGGTAACGATTTGTTGACAAAATTCAAAATTTTGGACTTTCACTTTCACGTAGAATCATATCATGCCGTAATTTCGGGTCGGAGAAAGCTTCGACTTGAAAATGAAGAGAGTGATGTGGTGAGAAATTTAAATTTCATGGACAAACTTTAGTTAAGGTTGAAAATTGTGTTACCATTTTTTACCACTCGGTAGCGATTTGTTATCAAAATTTAAATTTTGAGCTTTCACTTTCAAGCGAATCATTTCGTGAGAAGTCTTTGAATTGTAAATGAAACGAACTCTGGTACCTTAAATTTTAACCTTAGGAGTTACCAAACTTGGTCTCGTTGGTGGCGTTTTTTACAAAAAATCAAATTTGCTCCCACCCTAGAATCAATTTCTTACCATCTTTATATGTCATTTCCGAATAGGAAATTTAGCGAGTTATTCATTACGCATTCATGTCGAGATTAGAATTGAACCCCTGCCAAAAAGCGGGGGACTTTATTGTTTTTCTTTATTTTAAAATAGTACATAGTTAATGGTTTCACGTCTGGTTGGTTAGTCAGACCAAGTTACGGACGTATTTAAGTCCTGTAAGTGGGATCCGTAAAAGTTTGCCTATTTGTTTACGACGAGAGGGTGGATGTTTTGTAAACACATGTTTGTTTTCGTTCCCTGCCCAGAGATCAGTTTTCCAGGAGGAGTAAAAAAAAAAACTTCTACAACTTATTTACAGGGAATTTTGCACAAAGTTGTAAAATTTTTATTTTGTGGTCGGTTTTGTTTTACAGAGCTATAGTTTTACAGAAGTATGGCCATACTTGTGAGGAAAGGGAGGCAATATATATATTATTTATGTATGGTGGAGGATGGTTATGATGATAACACGTTATCTTGGTGAGGATTATGTAGGTTATCACGTATTTAGGGGGGAGGGGGCAATGTGATATTGAAGTTTGTCCAATAAAAGTCCACAAATCAAGCCAATACTTTTAGTCAAACTTCAACACCGGGGTAAAAATCTGTAGAGATTAATGAATTAAGTGCACTATTGAAGATCACAAAAGGTTTTAGGTGGACAAAATGTGATGAAAAATTAATCTAAAATTTAAAGAAATTTGTTCTCATAAAAAACGGAACGCATGAAAAAGTAATTT